ACAATGCAATTGCTCACCACCCGCCGACCGATACCCAGACGCTTCCTGAGCAGCGATCGCTCCTCCCCGGCCAACCACCCCCAGTTTATAGACTGAGCATGACGTCATATGGTATGGAATAGCCCTTTGGTCAGTTTGGATCAACTATTCTGGCTGTGCCCCCTCCCAGTTTCTTGTGCACCTGGCAGAGCATGGGAAGCTGAAAAGTCCTTGACTAGCATAAGCAGTACTCAGCAACAACTAAAACCATCAGCGTGTTATCAACATTCTTCTCCTACTAAATCCAAACCGCAGCACTATGCCTGCTACTAGGAAGAAAATTAACTCTATCTCAGCTGAAACCAGGACAGGTTGGAAGAGACCCTTCACTTGGCTGATCCTCCTTGTTACCTCTCTGCATGCTGCTCAGGCTGCCCAGTAGTGTAGGGAGCCTGTAACAACTTCTATCAGAGCAAGTTTACACCCCAGGCAAAGGGCTTCTGTCAAGATTCAGAGCTAAACTACCAGGGTTTAACTATGGGAAAACATCATCAGTTTTGACTGAGATGCAGAGTAACACAGAGATGTAACAAGCAGCCCAAGAAATACCCAGCATGCAGGCTGTCTTTTCTTCCACTAGTGATGTATTTAGCTGTCACAGCTACTGTAAATCACCGCTACGAGTAGATAGCTTCAGCATGTGTTAAATGAGACATGCTAAGACTGGCATGGATAGCTCTTTTTTTGCTCTTTTTTTTTTTCTTTTTCTCTTCTAGTGGTTTCCATCTTTTATCCTTATAGTGAATTGCTTTGGTGAATACATAACATTATTTTCACTGCTTCTAATCATTTGGTGATGCCTGCTGACTTCAGAGAGATTTGTGAAATTCTTTGCACTTTTTAAAATGAAGTAAACTGGGAATTTAGAACTCTAACTTACGCCTGCTTGGTGGTTTTTGGTTTTTTTTTTTAATAAATCTCTGTTGGGAGGTGATGTTGCCAGGTTATGGTGAAGTTGTTTAAGTTAATACTAACCAAATTGTCTCTAGTACTGCAACATAATTGCAGTGACGTTGTCTGAGACAAGAACATTAGTGTGAATTATAGAGTCTCTTGTTTAACAATGTAGTATCACACCTCTTCAGAAACCTTTTTGTTCTCTACACAGTTATTAATTGCTTGTATATATTTTAAAGTGTTTACATAAGCTTTAGGGAGCTCTGCCATGGGTATTAGGGAAATTAGGGAAAATAGAAATTCATGACTGCTCATAAAAATGCCTGTTTTCAGAGCTTTGGTGCTTGAATGATTTTCAGAGTTGGGGTGTACTTAAATATAGATCTTGAGTCTGGTGTAGCTTTCAGGTTTTTCTTAAACGGCTTGCATGATAAAAATCATGAGTATGGTTACTAATTTACTGACAGTAACATGTTGACATGAAGTTGGGAGGGAGTAGGAGTATTATGGATGGCAGCATTAGCATTCAAAGTGACTAAAACACCTGGATAAATAATTTGAGGGGCAAAAAGGGAAAAAGGGATGACAGTCACTAGGACACATGGTATGCTCAGGCAGAAATAAAGAGCTTCACAAGTACGGTTTGAAGAGGTGGTTGAGTAGAAGGTCTGTAAAAGTAATTTTTAGTAGACCAGCAAGCTGAGGATTGGTTAAGAATGTAATATTGTTACAAAGAGTGAAGAATCAATGGCATATGTACAAACAGGCTTCAAAAGAGGTAATCAGGATGTAGTGCTGCTAACAGCTCTGCTAGAATAGCATCTTCAGATGAGAAAGTTCTGCACTCTCAAATACATGAAGCTGATATATCTGCTGGAGAGATGCCAGTTAGAAAAGTGGTGATAATCAAGAATTTTAAAAAAAGGGATAAAAAAAATCAATCCTCTTTAAAATTTTTAAATTTAATTAATTAAGTGATAATGTTCATTTAGCCTAATGAAGAGGAGACTCAGGCAGGGTCATGACATACGTCAGCATTGCAAGGACACTGCAGAAGGGAAGTACCTGGTGGCTGAGATGAGAAGTAACAGACTAATGATTACAGCAAGGATGACGTTAGGTTGGGTATTTGGAAAAACTTAATAAAGGTCATGAAGCATTTGAGCAAATCTGCTAGAGAATCTGTAGTCTTTGGCTTTTAAGGTCTGTAAGAGTAGATAAGAATGTGTCGGGAGCAACAGGTGTGCAGCTGACCCTGCCCGTGGGAAGCTGGACAGACTAAACTGACTTCTTGCTTCTGTGATTCTTTGATATACTTAAATGCTTTAGCTAATTGCAGACTAAATTAGGCAGAAACAGGCATATCTTTTTAATGTGGTAACTGCTCTCTTTTCCTTTGTTTGAAGATTGAATGTGCCGCTTATAATCCTGAACCGTACCTCTCTGGCGAAACGGAGTCAGATTCCTGTGCCATGGAACATGGTTTTCTTTGGGTAAGCATAATCTTTAAGAGCTAAAAAGGGGGTTGTCTCCTGTTTCTATGCATTGTTTTTTGTGACTCTCAGCAACATATGGACCTAAAATAAATTTTGGGTTGGTTTTTTTTCTCTTTTGTTTGTGTGTTGTAAGATGGACTTCTATAAAGCATAGCTAGTAATTTTGTCCATGTCCATGTCCATTTGCTGTTCTCTGTAGGGTGTTAGTGTGGAACAGAACAAATTCCAAAGTGCTGAGCACATTTAGAAGTGAGTTACATGCTAATTTATAATGAGAGCTGCTAAAGCTCAGATGAGCTCACACTGTCCTATTGTCCATTTCCATATTTTACAAGTGTTTTAGCCATAAATAATCTGTTTAAGTCTGTACGTAGGAAACCCCCCCTATTCTGGCATATTGTTATGACCCCAAAAATGCAGATATTCCAGCAAAGTGAGATAGCCAGTACTTTTTTTTTAAAAAAAAAAAAAGCTAATGATTTCAGTAGCTCTTCTTGTTACTACAATACTGAAATTTTAAGGGAACCCTTATGAATTAAAAGTAGAAGGTAGAAATAGCTTTTGTCAGTGGCTTTTTTCAAGGTGGCCTGTATAATTTCTTTTTGTCTTCACTATTTGTAAACAGTCATCACAAATATATGCCAATAAAATCTTTCTACTGCCACAAAATGTTCTTTCTTTCTCTGTGCTGTGTTTTTTTCATTTCATATAAGCATAAAGAGTTACTATGTAAAAACATGTACTGCTGCTTTGGCAGAATTTTTTTTTTGTTAATCTTCCCAGATCCCTAAAATGTACAGATTTGTGGACATATTGATGATACTTAGTTCTGGATCAGGGAGAAGTTTAGGATCCTGTATCAGCAAGTTAACAAAAGGAATTATATTAATAATCCCTCTTTATGTTGGGACAGAACATTTATTTGTAGACTTTTTACTGTGCAAAGGACAGGCCTCAGCTGTATTACCTGTTTTAAGAGAATCTGAGATAACTTAGAACACTGGTTATTAAAATAATATATTACACAGGTATTTATTGTTATTGCATTACATTATGTATATACATATGAGTCAGACATCAGAATAGGCCATAATACTCCTCCTTTCAAAAAAGAAAGAACTGTTTTTGTGAGTATACAAGAGAATTTTTTATATATAATGTTTGAAATATCTTGTATTTGTGCGGAATGATTTCCTTGTTTATGTCTTAATGCATGCAAACTCATTCACACATATAACTTGGGATGCAGTCTTCAATTAACATTGCAGTTGTTCCTTCTTGTTAATGCTGATCTTCCTGGAGACAGATGTCAGTCTTGGTCTTTTTTTTTTTCCTTTCGTCTTTCCAATTCAGATTGGCAGTTGTACTAATCAGATGGGCCAGATTGCAATAGTCTCATTTCAAAGTTCCAGCCCCAAGGTTATTGAGTGCTTCAATGTGGAATCACGGATTCTCTGCATGGTCTACATACCAGAGGAGGAGAAACTGAAAGAGCAAAATAAGGCTCTCGACTCTGAAAATGTTCTTGGAAAAGCTTCGAATGTGCCTACTATTTGCCTTGGCATGGAAGAAGGAAGGTGATTCTCATTTTTAGTGTTCTGTGTATGATTTATTCATTAGGTTTACTATTGTATAGCAAAATTGTGTGAGATACTTCCAAGAAAATTTTTCCTTTTTAAAAAAGTATGCATGTGATATCCCAGTCACCTCAACTTATCCTTTCCACCTAAATCAAGGAAAAAATACACTCTACATGATTAAAAAATACACTGTATAGTATTTGAAACTAAAATAATGTGTATTTTTGCTGAAAGAATTAATTCATCATACCTCATGTCTGAAAAATATAAATACTACTTTTGTAATGTTACAACACAGTCTTTAGGTATTGGAAAATTTTCAGAATGACAGAAGTGTTAATGAGGAACCCATTAGCTTTCTACACTGTGATATTGTGCCAGATTTGTCATTGAATAAATAATATTGCTGTTTACTATTGACATGAATTATTTTGCTCTGTTTCAACTGATGACCTTACTGAGTCATCACTTGATTTATATTGAAGAACAAAGCTACATTTTCTAAACGTATAGGTCAATAAGCAAACTGATCTTGTTATAGCTAGTGAGGGCATAAGTATGTAACTACATGTGATTTTTTTGAAGGTGTTTCTAACTGCTATAAATGAAGGAAAATGCTATGTTTCCAGAAATTCCAACATCTAATTGTACTGATTTTCTTTGCTTGTGAAGTGCAATTAATTCCAGATTTAACTATGCAATATTCCTAACATACCCATGGTAATAATCTGTAGGAATGGTGGGAATTTTAAGTGTAATTGATGTCTGGTAGTCTTTTCTTCTCTTTTCCCTAGTTCTCCATGTAATACTTAATCCATATCTTTTTTTTAAACTAATGGAAAGTTTTGGATAGACTCATAATAAGGACTTTGAGCAGAATTTTTATTATGTCTCTTTGTTGAATAAATGTTTCTCCAGACAAGATAATATGAAAAGTGTTGTCATATGTCAATGTTAAGTAATTGCAAATTGTCTACATAGACATTTTGGAGGGTCAAGATACTCCTTTCCATACTCACCTTCCTATGAATGGAAGGAGAAAATCTCACCCCCCACCCCAGTATTTTATTCTAAACCTCTTTTGTGCATATTCTAATAAGAACTAAATGAAACGTAATTTCACAGGTTTGTTTTTTCTTGCTTCTTTTTATAGCATTTCTATTTACAAAAGTTGCCAAGGCTCAAAGAAAATTCGACTTCAGCACTTCTTCACTCCTGAAAAATCAACTGTTATGAGCTTAACATATATGTCTCAGTACTTGTTTGCTGGCTTAGTAAATGGAAACATCTCAATCTACACAAAAGCAGAAGGTAATGTAGTGATATGATTTGATAACATCCTGAGGAACCCACATGTCAGTATATTTTGGCAGAAGTAGTTTTCCACTATTACATTTTCCAAAAATTCTCTGTAAAAGTGCTGAACTAAGGCTACTACACTTTTCAGTACTTCTGAAAAGACTTGTTTACTCTTTTTGAAGGGTGGTAGAAACTTTGATATTGTTCCCACTTTTACCATACAATACATGTGAAAACGGATTTGTGCCCCTTAGCTTAAACCCTAAGGTCATCAGTGTTACAAGAGTCCAGAAGTTTATGTGGTAACAGGCAGTATACTCTATTTTACACAGCACAATGCTAATTCCACTCAGCTACCCAGTATTGGTGTTTATGAAAGACAAAAATTCCCTATTGGTAGAGATTCCTGTATATCTCATTTGAAATGACAACTCCGTTTTTACTGTACAGATAGGAGAAGTCTTTCCTGTGAGGGCAGCTCATGTATTTCACAGTAGGACTCCTTTGTCCATTAGCATCACAGTTAGTTGTTTTGTCTCTAGCTAAGTAATTGGCTAAAATAATTTGAGTAAAGGAGGATCCCAGGTAATACTTCTGAACCAGAACTGTCTTCTCCAAAGCTGTCTTGGGTGCTTGTCTGTGTACTTCCAGTACATCTCACTAACTTTCCTGCAGCACTGCGTACTGTTATGCATACATAACATATATAGTTAATTCAGTTAAAAATCAGTGAGGCTTCACACAGAGTTTGAAACCTGAGTTTTTAAGTGAGATGTTAGCACAGAGACACCTAACCTTGCAAAGTGCAGAGCCAGCAGAGATCTGGTGTACCTTGTTAGCGTGAACTGCATAACAATACTTCTTTAATGAGGTGGGCCCTGTAAACAGTGCAGTTGCATTTGTGTGGTGCTGTACCTCAGCTGCTAAATCCTGCCAGTCTCTAACTGAGGAGTCAAGCTCAGTATGTTGAATCTTGGAACAAATTATATGTCCAGTGTTAGATCATATGAAGACTTAGTTTGGGAAAGGTGCAGGATGCGTGGTTTGTTTTGTTTTTTTTTTTCCAAGCAACGAAGAATCTGAAAAAAGTTGGGAAAGAGATTTCCTTTCACCAGTTGTCACCTTCAGCCCAGTGGGTTTCCTGTTGAGCCGTCTCCTCTGATCTGAAGCCAGATGTTAGAGTTCAGTTCCCTTCATGCTTTGTTTTGGATTTTTTACCAATCAATAGCAAATTTTCCATTGTTTTGGATGTACAGGAGTGACACCTTGATCCTAGTCTCATAACATAATTTTTGATGTTGCAGTTTCTGTATGTACCTGGGTGGGGTAGTAACGTGAATCTGTCATCTTCTCTGAAAGGGATTGGTGTATTCAGGCTGTTTCAAGACTGCAATTGCTGTCACTCAACTTCTTTTAGAAAAGACCACTTCAAAACCACAAGTGGCATCCTTGGCAGTATAGGTAAGAAAGGATGCATGGGTTGCATATCTACAGGGGATGTTAAGGGTGAGACAGAGCTGTTAACCAGACTGAATTATGTTATGAGCAGGAGGTTATGTTGTATTGACCAGGATCATAGTGTCCCGTGTTTATCTTCCTCTGAAGACACCAGTTTTGTGCAGCTAGGTATTCATAGAACCTGTCGCAGTCTATTTCAGGATTGCTGAGGCTCTGAGACGGGAAATACGCATTCATGTTTTTTCTGACTCATCTCATAGTCCCTTCCCTTACAGTTTGGTCTGTGTGTGTTAGTTCTCTGTGCCTCATGAAATTTGTGTGAATCAGCTGCTCCCATGTTAGCATTTGTATTCCTTATAGCTGGCTGCTGTGGTCATGTGAGGCAGTCAGCCCTGAAGGGGTGTTTTTATGAGCACTGACCTATTTTACCAAACAAAGGAATCCAAGTGGTGAAACCAGAGGGAGGGGGAATGCAGCCTCTGAAGAGCTTTGTGCAATTCATCAAGGTCACCTTCTGTTCTACAGAGGGGGTTACTTTCCAGCCGTGCACTTCAACTTGGGATTTGGTCTGTCAGCATAAAGGAAATTAAGGAAAGATTTAAAAGTGAACGTGAAACACAATCGCTGCATTACAAGGCATCTTGATTTGAAGCTTGAGAAGGACAAATGCTATGGGATGCACGGGTAAAATGGTTGTGTAGCCTGTTGTGGGACTCCATGAATGAAAAGGGGTAATCTGTCTTCTAGGATGAAAATCCACCTCCCAGTCTCTATTAGAGCTGTGATCCTTGTGTCTTCCTCTCTGGGCAGAAGGTGTAGTGGATCAATTCAGTCACTGAAGCTCGATGCCTTTATGTATGTAGTCAAAGACCCACGACTTCTGTCATTCAGTTTTCGGTACCCAAATAGGTCTAATTTCTTCTGTTGTTTTCAGATGGCTCAATGCATATAAATATCCAGCTTGTTTACAAACAGCAAGTGCTCTCTTCTGACTTTCTTCACAAGAGAACTTTGTCAGATCGACAGCATCCACGGTGCTCTCTGGCTGCAGAAAGTCTTGTCTTGAAGTAATTTAAAATGGAAACTAAGAAGTGTGTGTAGTAAACTGAGGAACACATGCCATGTTAGTGGGAGAGTTGAAGGTGCACAGTGAGATTTCTTCTTTTATGAAGGGTAGTCATGTTTTACTGAGACAACTCTGTATCCATGTTTTTTCACTTACGAGTTAAAAAGTACTTAAGCCTGAATGTATTTGAACATAAATTAAAAGCAAAGTCAGTGAAGTCATCATAAAATCTACTCAGTTCTTAAATGTGGGCTAACATGGTGATCTGTGAAAATGTCATGGAAAGCTTAGGATGTAGGTCAGCTAATATGTTAATCCTAAAAATAGGAGCCCCGATAATTATCCTCAATAATCCTTAATTTTATGTGGGAAAGAAGACTAGTTTGGGGAACTGTGAAACAGCTAATGCATTAAATGGTGTTATGTATGGGAATGGTAGTGATGCAGATTGTAAAGTTTCTGACACCTTGTGTGCTGGGAACTTGTTTACAGTGCTGTTAACTTCTGCACAGTTTGGTCTGAAATATTGTGTGTTTAGTGTTTGTCTCGGGCTGAATTATTAGGAATATTTCCAGGCAAAACACATCTAGATGAGGTTAAGGAAAAAGTACATTGTATTGTCTTTGTTTAAAAAACATAACAAAACCCTGTTGTGATGTTTGCAGACGGCCCAGCAGATGTGTTTTCTGAGTGATGTAATAGCAAAAAAGGTCAGCGCGTGTTTGACTTCCATTCACAAAAGTATCTTAGGAAAGGGAAATCACAATCTTTGTATAATATAGGTGTATTGTTCCTGATATGCTGTAGTTAGTTCCAGCTACTTCCTTTCTTCTAGACATTGATATACATTTCCTTTCCATAAAGTCCTGTGAAGAGTATGGAGAGAAACAGGAAAAAGAAAATAAAAACTCAGAATGATTGTGGCAAAGACTAGAAGAATTAATATATTAGTAGTTTTAGAAAGAGTTTGGCTAAGATGAAAGAATAGATGCACAAAGACGACACACTGCTTTGATTGCAATGGCTATCCTTTCGGCACGTGATTGGTATGTGTAGCCTCTCACTCATGTGTACAGCAGCCACAGTGAGCCCTTGCATGCTCACCTCTAGCACTAATTTCACAGCACTTGGCATGCTCGGTGATCCTTCCCCTCTTCTCAGCACTGGTGAGGCCACACTTGGAGTGTTGGGTCTAGTTTCTGGGTTTCTCACTATGAGAAAGACATGGACATACTGGAGAGAGTCCAGCACAGGGCCATTCAGCTGATGAAGGGACTGGAGCATCTCTCCTGTGAGGAAAGGCTGGGAGAGCTGGGACTGCTCAGCCTGGAGAAGAGAAGGCTCGGGGGGGATCTCATCAATGTCTACAAATACCTGAAGGAAGAGTGGAAAGAGGGCAGAGCCCAGGCTCTTTTCAGTGGTGCCCAGTGACAGGACCAGAGGCACTGGGCACAAACTGAAACACAGGTGGTGTCACCTGAACATCAGGAAACACTTCTTGTTACTGTGAGGGTGACTGAGCACCAGCACAGGTTGCCCAGGGAGGTTGTGGAGTGTCCATCTGTGGAGGTTTTCAAAATGTCTGGACGCAGTCCTGGGCAGCCAGCACTGGGGGGGTTGGACTTGAGCAAGGGGTTTGGACCAGATGAACCCCAGAGGTCCCTCCCAACCTCAACCATTCTGTGACTCTGTGAGTAAAGAAATGTCCAAACAAACTAGTAAGAAATTGAAACAAGGCGTTTTTTTAATGTCATCCTACTTCGAGGTGCTGCTGAGCTAGAGAAGTGCCAGTTGTGATTCGCAGTGCAGAGCTTGCACCTATGATCAGTTTCTTAAGCTGAGGATGAATCATGCCTCTCTTCTCTTTTTTAAAAACAGAATAGGAGAAACAGGACATGTAATTTGTCATATAGTATCCTTAAAGGCTAAGGGACTAGGCTGTCAGCTGAAGAGATTATTTTATCAAATGATTATTTAATACAGTAACTTTTGCTCTGCTGCCTCTCATCCAGTCTTTAACTCTTTGTTTTCAAGAGCAGCTCAGCTTTAACATGAAGAAGGGATTGGGAATGCTGCCGTTGCCACTCTGAGTGGCCCTTGCCTGGGTGGCTAGGGGTCTCTTCTGGAAGCCCAGAGATACAGATGTGAATAGAGAGAACTGAACCCACACACCCATAAGAGGAAGCCTCTTGCATGTTTTAATGAAAGCTGTAGGTTTTTTTCTAGTAGGTTTTTGCGGAGCCTGTTCCTGTAGGTGTTCACTGCTAGGTTCTGGCCCCGAGGTTTACGAAAGGAAGAAAAGCTCAACTTTGAGAATTGCAATTGAATGTGAAACAAGAACAACAGCTGAGGCAATTCTGGCCATTCACAGAACAGAAGTTTACATTCTTTAGAGAGACTTCACTGGTAAAAACTTAGGCAGCTCTGAAGCTGGTCAAGAGTTTTGATGACTTACCTGTCCAAAGAGGCCTCATGACACTAATTAGTG